CAGTAGTGAAAATCATCCCAACAATTAATTCAGCATAAATTTTCAGCACAACAAATGATGACAATCAAATGACTTTTATGATTTATTCTTACAAATGTACTTTAAAATAGAAACAAAATCTAATTTTCTATACTTTATAATAAGATGCAGGCAGTTGGGGGCGAGTGGCTTAAATGTGCTTAATTGTCACAAAACTATTGTTGGATTGCAAAAAAACATAACGATCCTAAAATAAAATAATAAAATACAATAGGCTTTATTTTCTATATAATAACAATATGATTCTTTATAATACTATAATATGAAAACAAAGAAGAATTGTAATGCACTGTAGGATGTAAAGAATGTATATTATTTTCAATAAGATGATTTTTCAGAATCAGTCGTCTCTGAATCTCAATTAATGACATGCATTAAATACATAATAAAAATGTCTCTCTTTTTTCAGGATTCAGGAGCAGAATGCTGAGCAGCTTGCCTTGGTCAAGGCTGGGCATCATAAAGAGATTGAACGCCTTCTGGCTTGCCATGCCCTTGAGCATTCCTCCTCCAAAGTCGCTGAACTCGACAATCAAGTGAACTTACAGGAGGTCAGTCACTCCAACAGTTCTATTTATTGCTATGTGTGCTAAGTGTTGCCTTGGCGTGGTAGTAGAAACATCAAGGTCATGGGTTTGTTTGCTAAGAATAAATTATATAATTTGACTGCATTGTAAGTTGCTTTGGATAAAGGCTTTGTGTAATGAATCTTTGAATTCTGAATTTCTCTATTCAGATCATAGTGCAGCATTTACAGGGGCAAGTAAAAGAACTCCTGGGATCCAAAGATGCTCTGGCTGTGTCTAAGATCAGAGAAGAAACCCTGCAGAATCAGGTAGTGAGACTTTGCCACCAAGGTTTAGTGATTCAGTTTCCATTCTTCTTTAAACACAGGATTTTACATTTTCTCTATTATTTCCTGTTATGTGTATGTCAATAGCTGTCTAAGCTTCTGGAAGAGCTGAAACAGGCCAAAGAAGCTCACAGTCCTAAACTAAGGCACTTCACTAGCCTGGAGCAGAAGATTCAGTCCATGGAGCTCCTCTACAGTCAGCGTGAGAAACCACTACAGCAGGTAACACTGCAACACACACCTACACACACTATACATACACTTCAGTTCAAAAGGTTTGGTTCAGTAAGATTTTTAAAAAGTAATTAATACATTTATTAAGCAAAGATTCATTAAAACGATCAAAAGTTACAAGGGATGTAACGAATCACCACGAGCCGGTTGAAAATCAATACAAATATGTGACTATTCAAATAGGTTGAGATGTTAAACGAATCGCTATACAGTACATTTGGGGGTAGGAGTTTCTATGAATGTGTATCTGAGGGGAACTGACTTTTCTTTAGAAAAGTTTAGATGATATTTTCTTTTCATCTCGTCTCTGTATAATTCATATTAGAGCAGCGTTCATAAGCCGCTGCGCTACTGTTTCGTGCAGATGTTTTATGTAGTATAGTTTCACAAAACTAAAGTCCGAGCATTCTGCTTTTGTTTTAAAATGTCAAATTATGCAATCAAAATGCAGTGGTTGCCTCTTATTTTGAATGGAAAGAGCACAGGTAGCCTTTGTTTATATGAAGAGACTTTTTTGTCTTATTTATTTGATTAGATTTAGACATTTTTAAATGAAATTTTGAAATGTTTTAAAATTTCATTTTATTTTTGTTATTTGACATATTTCTGTTACAAAGAAAGGTGCAGCATTTTGTCCAAGCAATAATAAAAGGACACCTTTTCATTTATAATTTGTCTTAAATCTAATTTTGTTTAGAAACAATCGTGAGAAAATCCAATCGTGAAATCAGTATCATGAATCGAATCGAATAGTGAGTTGAGTGAATCGTTACATCCCTAAAAGTTACAGTAAAGAGATTTATAATGTTACAAAGAATTTCTGTTTAAAATAAATGCTGTTATTTTGAACTTTCTGGTCATGTGACACAGAAGACTGGAGTAATGGCTGCTGGAAATTCAGCTTTGCCATCACAGAAATTAATCAAATTTTAAAATATACAACATTTTACAATATTACTGTATTTTTACTGTATTTTTGATTAAATAAATGCAGCCTTGATGCACATAAGTGATTTCTTTAAAAGACATTAAAATTCTTACTACACTTCTCAACGTTAGTGTACTAATACGAACAGTATCTTAGTTTCACACGATCAAGTAAAACTAGCAATAAGATACAGCCTTGGTCTGACGCAAGAAGCAAGTCATTTGTAATTTTAACAAGTGCAGTTTCTGTGCTATGGTGGGGAAATTTCATTTCTATGAAATTTTTCATGGAGATTATTTTTTAGACACATGAACTGTAAACAGTCAGCGCACGTCTAGTTTTCTGGTGCTGTACAGTATACTGTATATAGTTGTTTATAATGGACCTCAACAGCACTCTGATTGACAACCTCTGCACTATGATTGAGTACACTGATGTCATGTGCCGTTGTGTTTCCAGGTGATTGCAGACACACGGCGGGTGGTGGAACAGGAGCAGCAGGGTGAGGTGGAGCGCTGGAAGAGACTCGCTCAAGGCAGGACTAAAGAGCTGGAGGTCTTCAGACTGGAGCTGGACTCCATACTGGATGTGCTCCGAGAACTCCAGAGACAGGGTGTAGTCATTCACAACCCCACCACCCACACATACCTGCCCCTCCGATCCTGAGCTGTGTTTGAACCACTCAGAACACTCTAGGATGTGCGTATACAAATTTCTATGTCTCTGGCTAGCAGAATTCCTGTGACAGCACTAATCATTGCTTGGCTAATTTTGTGGGAATATTTATAATTATAATTATGTAAAGATTATTTAATTATTGTCAAGGAATATGCAGGGTGTGTAACATCCAATTTGGTGTTTTTTTGTATTAAAGTTAATTTTTATTTGCACATTTGGTCCTGTTTTGCTGCTCCGTTGATTTCACGACATCCACTTGAGCAGAATCCAGAAAACCTGAACAAACAGCAGTCAAATTGTTGTTGATACACCACCCATATAAGAGTTATAACTCAAAAGCTCAACCTAAATGTACGTTTACACAACAAATACTGCAGACGTCATGATTTATTACTTGCCTTAGTGCTGGGCTCAAAGGACATGGTCTGAATGCTAATAAACTACTAAAAGAACATAAATTACGTGAGTGGCTGGAAATGGAGCTGCTGTGTTGTGTGACTGATAAGAGCTGACCAGCATGCAGCACTGATTATAAACACCAAGGGTCCTGACATAATATAATTTAATTCAGGACATAGTATACATTTGAGGAGAGTTTGTGGGGTATAAAGCATTTAAGTGGCCAATTTACTTGCCTTTCAAAAATGAAATTTGCATAATCACAAAAAATAAATTCTATTAACGATCCAGAACAATGCAGTACTGATAACCTGCCAAACTTCAGCTAGTGTCACATCTGATGTCTGTTCAAAGTTGTCCTTAGCTGTCACCTATATAAATTGTTCATTATTTTTTTGCAAGTTTGAAGGTGAAATAATTTCGCTTTGTAGATCGTGAGTCATTACTGCTTTATTTTTCCTTAGGCAGTTTTCATCAGTGCCTGTTTTTATGTTGTTAATAGTTAATAATAATAATGTCCTGAGTTTTTGAAAGGTTAAAACATTGTATGGGATCCCATAATTCTACACTATAAATTACAATAGTATTTTAAACAAATTTTTTACATTTTCTGAAGAAATAAGTGGTGCTTTCTCGTGCTAAATGTATCACCTGAGTGTTACAGTGTGGTTGCTAGGACATTGCCAAGTGGTCACTAAGGTTTTCTGAGTGGTTGCTAGGTAGCAACTTTCTGATCCAAGTAAAAAAATTCTCTATAATATTCTGGTCTCTACATATGGTTCCTCAATGTACGCCTATTTGTTCCCTTTCATGGGAACTTCGAACACTATAGTCGCACCGGTAGTGACGTCATGGCTGTTGCCGGCCAACGAGTTGTTGTTTTTTCAATGTATGCTTCAGACACAGGTCACGACGAGGCGTTCCCCATAGCGACCCCTAGAGGACGCAGTGTCTCATTCCCTACTCAGGGAACCATGGTTACATAAGTAACCTGAGATGATTTTTCACCTGTTTTATCATCTGTCAGCTGAAAACTCAGGTCAAAAAGTAATAAGACAAGCTGCATAATGTGCGGTTTCATTGAGATTTGTTCCTAGGGTCAGGGATTTATACAAAAGTTTCACCACGGGAAGCTTTGTACTGAGTTTTATTGGACATGTTGGACAGAATTGAAGTATTCAATTGCTCTGGCAGTTCAGGCAGCTGTATTCAGACAATTACAGAGAGTTAGTATGCAAGTATACTGCAAGTGTACAGACAGCGAGCTATTTTCTACTCAGGCATTTGCTCACACAACAAGCCCAGAGAACCAGGCAGTGCAATACCAAATTGCTGCAATTTTGCCATTAGGCTACATAAGTACAATGCTGGATAAAAAAAAAACATCTTCCTACTGCACATAAAGAGATTTTTTTTCAATAATTATTATTATTATCGCTTAATTATTCACAACAGCATGTGTTGATTTGCTATGACAGACGTTTCAGACTGTGAGATGACATCGCACACATTAACTGAGAGAAACGTTCATGGATCGAAGAAGAGTGTTTGTTTTTGCTTTGTAATAAGAGTTCGGCACAAACGCGATTAATTCACTTGGTGAGCATAACCGTTTTTACAGCTCTGTGACGCAACCCGTCAAAAGGCTTATATAAACACACAGAATAAGCCTTAAAAGTTCTCAGAGGTGCAACAGCGCGTTCATATATATGTTTTCGATGCAGAGTTTTTAACTCGATGTGAGCGAAATTAAACCGTCTGAACGCGAAGCTGAGTGTGTTGTCTGTCTCCCCTCTTCCCCCTCCTCCGCTCCGCTGCGCACCACGCCCCCTTTTTTAGCATTTTTTAAAACTGTGGTGAGAACTAACCAGTGCTGAAACGGGGGGTTTCATGACCTTTTAAATATCTAGCTTTTTCTAAACACAGGCTTCCCAACAGTCTTTTAGCATGCTGTCGCTGCTGTCAAGAACACATTCGCCAAATCCCATTCATGCAATCCCATCTTTTTTTAACTCTCAGACTGACATTATGCATCACTGTAGCAGATGCATCACTGAACCCAGATGTCAGAAAATAGCTCAGCCTTAAAGTTTGCACTGCAAAAGCAGAGCTTTTGAAGCAAAACACCATCACTCTCCATTTTCAGAGATCATAGGCTGAGTTGAAGACAATAATGGAGTCATGATGAGTGAAAAAAGCCCATCTTCAAACTGGTGGTTTAGTCAATGATATGATGGGTACAGCGCGGACGGGCCTCCTCCATTATGATCGGTGGATCGCCCAGTAGTAAATCTTCATCCCCCAATGCAGAGCTCAGTTCTGAGTTCACAAAGTTGGGGATGTTAAAATGCGCCAGGAGCGTCGCCTCTCGTTCTGCCCTGGTCTCCATGACCATATTTTGCACGACTAGTCCGACCGTTTCCACCTGGTCTCTGGAGTCGCCGCTGCCCGTACGTCCGTGGGCAGCACCAGCAGTGGCCCTGCCTCCTTCTCGCTCTTCTTCATTAATGTAACACTGAAAAAGAGACCGGGACTCTTCCAGCAATGGGCGAGAGAGACCCGTTCGGGCGTCTGCCTCACGTTGGCAACCCAGACCCTCGGCGCAGCTTGTGAGACGCATTCGTTTCTCATAAGGCTCCGCGACCCTGCGGGATTGAGACAGGAGTGTTGAACTCAAAACCTCATCAGCAGGTTTAAACAGCTTTATTTCCCTTTTCTAACAGAGGTGAAATGAGCACCGTTGCTTCCGGAGTGTGGGAGTACCCTCATCTTATATTCTATCCTCCTCCTGTGTCTGAGTGTGTGTGTGTGGGAGCACATATTCCTATCCTCTCTTTTCAATGATCTTGAGTGTAAGAGGTTTCTGCTGGTCTGTGTTAATGGATGACTCACATCTGTAGAGCAGTTTAATTAAAAGAGCACTAAACAGACTGTCAGCCCGGCCCCTGAGCTACGCAACTGCTCCATTAGACCAGAGGATGGGGACTAATAGTGCTTTACTATTATAACTGAGTGTAATTATATGCAATAAACAATAAACGCCCTTAAAATTTTGTCCAATACATTTGAATGTACAAAGAGGGCATTATTGAACATTAATTTGCCTTTAAATTAATTCTGGTTAGCTACCAGAACACAGACAGAGATAATTGGTGTTTTTGTGCATGCGCATGCATATGGGTGCATTTGTGCGCATTAATAAACATGAGCATGCGACAAGAGAGATGCAAGGATAGACTGGAATAAAACAGCACAAAATGAAATGATTGTAGCAGTGCCTATATTTTTGAGTTTATGAAGGTTAAAGTTGCCAGACTTCATGCTAATTGGACCAAGATTTCAGACCGTTGTTGGTTTAATCAAAGTTTCCTGAAAATAATCTTTGTTGGTCTGAAGGAGTGTTAAATCGGAGACACCGACCTACTGTAGCAGAGAACTAATGAGAGTGAGGGAGGCCGCAAACACGCACAAACACTCACACACACACACAGGGCTCTCTGAAGCTAAGGATAATGAGGCATCTAGGTGGCCAAAGCGCAGACGGCGGGAAACCGAAAAACCATGCTGAAACACTGTCTTGGTGCTTGTGGTGCAGATGTGAGAGAGATGAACAGACCTATTGGGAATTTACACTGCCTGCACTTTTGTTTAGTCTGTTCTGTCCTGTCCTTGCCACAAAGCCTGATAAACAAAACTGGTATTTCTCAGATTTTAGAATATATACTTACTCTGGGTGTGGTGCTCCTGTTTTGGTCAGAAGAGTCAGAACAAAAAACATAAAAATTACAAAAACTGCTAGACCCACCCAAAAGCCGATCACAATGGAATCTGCAGGAGGAAACAAAGCTGAGTGACGTAAAAATGCAACTGATTTTTTCTTCTTTTTTTTTTTACTGTCTGTACTCACATTAACCCAAATTACTCAATGGGAAATAATACAAAATATTTTTTTTTATTTTTTTTTTATTTTTTTTTTTTAAACTTTTATTCAGCTTAGAATTTAATATTTTTTGTTTCCACAAAAAATTAAGCAGCACAAGTGTTTTCAACATTGTAAATAATAAATGTTTCTTGAGCACCAAATCAGCATATTACAATGATTTCTGAAGGATCATGTGACACTGAAGACTGGA